ACATAATGTTATTAGGTATGTTAGATCAGCTTTACCTTAAATATGTCATTCGACCATCACCGCCGTTAGTAAAACTAAAGGCATGCTGTTTGCGAAAAATGTGACCCACACGACTACAGGGCACGATCTCAATTTCCCCTCCGCAAAGCCATAATTTGATAGCGAATTCTATTGATTCACCACCCCAAATCTGTAAATAATAAAAAGTTCTTACTACCAATTTTATAATGTTATAATATATTTTATCAAAAAAAGAAATATAGAATTTTGGACATTTTATTGATTCTAGAAAACATGTATGTAGATTAAAGAATGTTAAGAGGTATCACGTTTCATGGAAAGTAAAAGTGAAAGTGTTTATTGATTTCACTCGCTACACAATATCTCCATTCAAAAAATCGGCAAAATACTCTATAGCATATATTAGGAGGTATGTGTAATAAAATGGATACTTACTTAATAATAATACCAACCTACCTACATGTGCATATAATTTGTTTAATATATATATCACATATAAACTGTTTGAGGTTATTAAATTAAACAACTACTATTTTCTCAAAGTATAAGTAACAGTGCACTTAAATATGAATACATATTCCATTTTAGAGATTATCTAACTTCTCTCTCTCTATTATGTCCATTTCAATTCTGGTTAACAACTTTGGAATCATATAAGAATAACCACACCACCAATGAAGTTAAAAAAAAAATTGTTTAATCTGTGCTTTGTTGGGCTTATGCTGTAAATATTGATAATGGCTAGCAGCGTGTTATCACTATTACATCTCAAATAACTCATGTCCATCAACTAGTATCTGATATTCACAAAAAGTAACATGCAGTATCGGACAGTATAAATAACAATATTTGCAGAGCGTTTACATACATACTTCCAGAAGTGAGTTGAAAGCATTCAATTTAAAAAACCAATTTCGAGATATCATAAAAATTCCACCAGAAAATACAGGACTTCTGTGAATGAAACAAAAAAAACATTATATAAAGTAAAACTTAAGGCTTTAGTGAGTTGGGCAAATACCAACAACAATGAAAATATAAGCAAATGGTAGGAAAATAAAAAAAAAGAATATTGAAAACGAAGCTGAAAATGAAAATGGTAAATCTGTTAAGTGAATTGCGGTCCATGAAATGGAAAAATATTTACAAAAATACGAAAACGATTTTCTTTTCCATTATTTTTTCGTTTATTTTAATAAAAGCTACAGTTGATGTGTATAAAGTGAGGGATATGGAAGTTGGAAAGGAAAAAAATTAAAAAGGCAGCAAGAACTAACAACAAAAATTAAAAAAACAATACAAAAAGCAATGAATTTCGGATGAATTTCGAATAAAAAATCCAAAGAAACAGCATTCAAATGTGAAGCTACGTCCAATTTTGGTAATTCAATGTGGCTTATGCCAAAGGGGCACACATTTGATAAACTACAATGAAGTGCAGCAGCATATTATGAAATCCCTGACCCCATCAGTGACCCTACTTTTTATGTGCGATATATTGACATATTTTGAAAGTTCATCCTATTAGTATTTCAGTGAATATCAGCGAGTAATTAGGAATTAAAATGACAAACTGGCAATGTCATGAGTACTCGTAATAAATAAACTAAAAAAATTTTGAACGTAAGGCACTGGCATGGATAAAAATAAGAGTTTTGAGTATAACATAAAAAAAAATCAAAAACAAATAGTGCTTCGCTCAATTAATTAATCAATTGTATTAATTAATAAATTAATTGGTATATAAAACAAATCAAGTCCAGTCAGCTCTTCGCTGCATCTCGAGGCATAATAGAAACAATTGTAATAAATTTTCAGATAACGCTCACATGAACCACTTCAGCCATGCAATTTTGTTCCAACGCTGCAAGACCATTTTGATTGTGTGACATTGCTATTCGAACCCCCAGCCTAAAAGGGTTGTTTCACCTTTTGAAATCTTCTTTCACTCATAAGACGTACCTATATGACATAGTTAACTGATTTTAGCAGACAGAATATGTTAACTAATAATACCATTCCGATAAGATTGCTCGATCTGAGTTGATAGAGTGTTAATCTTTCAGTATTACTTTATATGCCCTTACTATCATAAGCGTGACAGGAACCATGATCTTTTTAACTAGAATAGTTTTGGGTTTTTTTATTGTTCAATTTGGATACTTAGTTGACCCTCTTAAATACCGTTTATTGCATATGCCTTGAATTCTAGCATAACCGCTCAAAGGTTTTATGACTTCAATACATACCTTCAATACATATCGATTTGCCAATACATATCCAATGTTTTTCAACATTCCTGCATTTTACAAAAACTGATGTATTGACACCTTCAAAATATTGTTTATAAAAAAGTTTTAGCACTTCTTGAAAATACGTCGCTATTTTAAAATGATGTCTTATTTTGATGTGAAGCATCAGGCATTATATATATATTAATGAATTGTTATACATATATACACAGTGGTGTAAAAAGTCATGTGCTAAAGAGGGCCGGTCGATATAATAGAAAATATATTTTAGCGGTGTTTTTGTAGTTTATAAACTGTAGATTATGTTGTCAACTGAATGAAGTTGAAGATCTATCGACGCCAGTCTGAACATTCATATTTTAAAACTTTTATTAAAATTAAATACGTACACATTTAAGAATGTGAATGTGAATGGTATCGGATATGACAAAAATGTTTTTATAGCATTTTTTTGTTTTTATTTGTTTTAAGTAGTTTTCTTTATAAATAATATTTTTTGTTACTGTTTACTCGATGACCTTGTCAATTATTTCTACTTATTTGATATACCTTCACCCAAACGTTATTGTACGAAATCTCAAGCATATTCAAGTAAAACAAAAACTATCTTACCTGAAAGCTTCTTTATCATTTTGTTCCATATTTTGACGCTGCACCCAATGAAAATGTAAATTCCAATCGAAACCACCCATTAGATTCTTTGAACTTGCACGATAATCCAAAGTCTCAGTGTCGATGATATCTAGCACAGGACTAACAGCTACCATGTTGACATTACGTGCACTTCTACCAAGAGCAGCGTGAGCAATACGTTCCAACATGGGCTCCAACCAGCCAACATTAACTTCACAATGACTGTCGAGAAATAGCAAATAATCGCCGGTAGCAAGTCGAGCACCAAGATTACGTGATTCAATCAAGCCCAAACGTCGTGGATTGCGTTGCATTTTAATTAAACCTATGTTAACAGGCCAAATTAAGGCATCAGTGTTGGAAAGCGTTTTATTATGTGCGAATGGTGGGAAATTGAGTTGGCTTAGCACTGGCAAAATTGTATCTTTCGAGAATATTGAGAAGAAGGAGAAAATTATGAAAATGATTTATTAAGGCAGCTGTGGCATACATTAAAAATCCTACCATCATCACTGTAGTCATCGATTAAAATAATTTCGTGCAAATATTTCGCAGGGGTACGTTTGTGCACAGACATAATCGTTCTGATAAGCGCTGAGCGCGCCTCATTGTGATACGTAATTACAATCGAAACTTTTGACCTTGCCGCTGGTGGCAATCGGTAGGTGTGAGCAGCACAACTATAATTACATTTATCCCTCTTTCATGTACTATTGTACAACTATTGGCATACTTACCGCTCGTCACGTGTGTCCGGTAACGCGCGTAAGCTGCCAATCTTATCACTAATTGCATTGTTATAAAAATAGTATTCATAGGATTGTGCGGGTGTTTTGCTGATAAACTCTTTAAGCTCTATGACATCTGCGACTCTAATACGTTCCACGCCTGTAGGTGAGTCCAACTATAAACAAAATGTTTTACGACTTGAGAGATAATAAGTTTATATTAAGTTTTTGTGAGAGAATTCATACATGCGAAATGATAAAGTCACGGCTCAACAAATTGTATTCGAATATCTTTAAAATGAAAAACAAACATAGCAACGAGAAAAAACTTAACACTAAATATCTTCTACGGTTTGATTTATACATAACTCTTAACTGGGATTTGAGTTGAAAACATACGAGTCTGACTATCGGCGCGGTACCTTCCGTTCGTTAAAATGGCAAAAAAATAACTAATTTTGCGCTCATAAAATCGCTATAAATTTCTATAACAAATTTTTGATCTATTTTTAATTTCTAACGTTTATTTAAGGTTGCCATGAAAAATAACAAATAAATGCAAATAAATAAATATTTAAACTTGGCACTTTGATTATGTCGTCACGCCTGCCGTAGATTGTTGTGTAATATTGTGGTATTACTTTTTGCCAAAGATAAGATACGTCTGCGGTGAGCTCGTAAATTAAATTGTCAGATAAATTAACATTTTTGTCATTTTCTCACAACAATGAAGTGCTAATTACTTCACTAATTTGTACTGAAACAAATTGAAAGCTCGTTTTTTACCAAAAAGCAATTTTTTCCCTATTAATTTCAAATGACATTCTTAGCACAAATATTTCATAGAGATAAAAAAATGTGAAAGAAATTAAAATATCAGTTTAATATATGCACGTGACAAAATATCTTTTATTGCAGGCTTTCACAACTATCAAGTAATTAATAAAACAATTTCAGAAATATTATTTTAAAAAATTTAATGCAGTACATATAATTTAAAATTGATAAGCCAGTCATGTATAACATTTAATATTATTTAATATTCAGTGGTTTTCAAAGACCACTGAAAATGTGCATTTAGCGATATCCGAAACAGCTGTGATATCAAAAAAAAAATTCATTTGATTTAGAATTTTATTAGACATACATATTTTCTTTTCTATTCAAAATGAATTTCTTGCTAAACAACATTAAATTTTTATCCAGATATTATTGGAAACTACGCTTTGAAAGATCTTTGTTTTTCCTTGCTACAGAAAATATGTTCTGGTGTAGTTCTGGTGTAGTTATCCACGTTCTTAGTTTTCATATCATTTTCGACGCCATCAGTCCGTAATCTAATTTTTTCAACGTAAAAAATATCTTACCTATGTAAGATATTATATTATTATATATATATATATATTTATATAGATATATATTATTGTTAGGGGATGTGGCACTGAGACCGTTGGATCTATTGTGCCACCTTTTGGGTTCAGAATAGTTCTCTAAGCCCTGTTGCATTAATAAAAAATAGTATAGAACCTATTTTATAGAGTTTTATTGCCTCTTCCGTAAGAATATACATTACCTGGAGCCTATTCCGCATGTGCATTAGCGCGGGAGGTTCTAACAACACATGTGTGGCCAATTCCTCATTCTCTTCACAGAATCTACAATTTACATCCGTAAGTAAATCCAATGTTGTAAGATGGTATTTCAGTTTACAGTGCCTGGTTAGGATTCCTGTGATGATTCTATATTTTTCTTTTTATATGTTCATACAGTCATACAGTGTTTTGGATTGTTTTAATCTTAATATATTATTATCCTAGAAATCGTTTTTATTGTGGTTTTCCTTTACTTTTATGAGAGATAAGAGCGTACTATTTCAACTTCCTTTCTATATTGAATTCTTTAATTGAAGCTCGAAAACTATCTTCTTCTAACTATCTACATAATTTGAGTTGATATGAACAGAGAGTAATAACTCTTTCCCTCACCTCCTTCCCCATAAATGTGTGAGAAAAAAATAAAATAAGATTTGCCTGATTGTTTCAATTAATGTTTTACCGCATTCCCCCTTCTCTGACCTCATTTAGCCTACCTTTCTGGCTAACCACTTATATTAAATGATACAGTATTTTTCTACTGCTTAAAATGTTGTCAAAAAATTCAGAGCATAAGAATATTTTGGTTTGGTAAGTAGCTGCAATAATCCATAATCTGCCATTTGCAAAGAGTTCTAATACAAGTTTTTAAGCGAAACTCTTTAAAGACTCATTAATCATAATTTTAAAATATTTTTAATAATTTTAAACCAAAATGGCACTCAATGAGCCTTAACTTTATTGATATATCTACTCTGTGCACACATAAATAACAAAGATTCCATAATGCAACCAAACATTACAGCCAAACACATCACATTTGCGTACTTAGAATATATCAATAAGGTATGGAAATTATTAATGTCAGATGTTTTGACACATTCCCCGAAAAGTCCAACATAAATAACTAAACAGTTTCCCTTCGTTCATATGTGTTTGGGACATAAATTTTCATGAACTAACAAAATAATTTCACACATCATTAACACCTGAAAGAGTTAAGGGACAAACATAAAAAAAAAATACATCTCAATCTCGACATATCTCGTTTATATAAAAATATCAGCTTAAGCCAATCTCAATAGATTTTCACAGATTTTCAGTTTCACTTATGCACAAACTCAATGGCAGTCAATTTCATCGTCAATGGTTAATAGCACAAATGAGGAGGGCATGTTACTGGCAAAGGATTTGAGATATTGAACTGTTGTACATTTTCCGAGAGAGACGGCATATGAAGACAGTGTGCATATTGTACGCTACAAATGATCCATGAAATTTGTTTAAATTAAGCTCTCTTTGTTACTTATGTGTATCTGCATCTGCAATCTTCATAAGCAGAACAGTCTCTACTTGTGCTGAAGCAATCATTAACATTTGATTACATGCATGAGGTATGCGATTTTGGATAATCCTGAATTTGCATAGAAATGAAAATGTAAAATAAAATTTTCCGGCCAACTTAACCAATGTATCTTGCATGTCTGTATTCTATTTGTTTTGCATATGCACTCAAATATTAAATTGTTATTTCCTTTCAGAAAGAAAACAAAAATATAATTTCACAGACGACCATAAGTCTATGAAATGCATAAGGCTTGAAGAAGGATGCTGCAGTTTTATCAGTTCTCAAAGACTTTGCATAAATCAGAGCTATTTGCAATATTGTCCACAATTTAATAAATAATTAATTGATTTTATTTACTCTTGATGTTATCAATTGACAAATAGACAAAACTTAAAATAGACTTTTTCATTCATAAAGATTTATTAGGTTTTACAATTCAAATTGAAATTGTAGAATTTTATATGTTTTTACTTCAAAATGCAATTAAAATCCAAATAAAATTGAAAATGTAAAGAAATGTGAAAATCAATAGATTTATTTGTTTTTCTATTTTGCAATAACTTGAAATAGGATAAATATGAGAAACATTGTTTCACGAGTCCAGAAATGGAACAGAATCACAAATCAATTAACTGTCACTATTAATATACGTTTTAACTTAAGTGACACTTTAAGTCTGACAGAAACTGTTCAATATATATTTTCCAAGATCGATAAAATATAATTTTAAAACCAGTGCTATGTTATGGTATTATAATTAAAGCTTACTGCGACCAAAAGAGTCCTATTGTAGAAATTTCACTATTGATTATACAAAGCCTTTTAAAGCTTTGTGAAGAAAGTCCAGAACTACTGCCGTATACCTTCTGCTCAAAAAGTATCCGTATTTGGTTGTTTGTTAATTACTCCTTAAGTAATAGACCTTTTTCAAAAGTTTTATGTTGGTACACTCTTTCTTGACATATGGTACAAAATTGAGCGCCATCTGTCAATTGCTTTGTTTACAGCAGCTGTTAATGTGAGACTACCTCAAGTGCATTTAGCGATTTTTACTATGGAAAATTGTTGTGGACGCGATTTTTTGACCAAACACGGCACCACTGTCATCGCTCAGACACCATATTCGCCAGATCTGGCGCCGTGCGACTTTTTCCTGTTCCCGAAATTCAAATTGCCTCTTCGTGGTAAGCGTTTTGAGTCGATTGAATCGGTAAAAGAGAATTCGCTGAAGGAACTAAAAGCCATACCTGCATGGGCCTATGAAAAGTGTATGGAAGATTGGGTTAATATGTTGGCATATGTGTATCGCTTCAAAAGAAGCATATTTTAAAGGAGATGAAATAAATTTGAAATAAAATTTAAATAGTGCGTTTTATTTACAAAATCCGTGTACTTTTTGAGCAGAAGGTAGTATCATAATTTTTGTATTAAGTTTTCACAATTTGAATACATTTAGGAATTGCTAAACGATCCATACGATCCATATGATGTGGTAATCCGCAAAAAAATCGTAATGGCTTGTGCGACAGTTTTTTGTGACATCTAACGTATATTGATTATATCACATTTTTAAAAATTGTGGGTAATCGAAATTTGTGTAATATAGGACATTCGAGTCCCACATTGGAGTAGTTATAGGACGCATAGGTAGTTATGTTTATTCTCAGTATACAAAATATCTTCGCTGCTTCTTTCAAAATGTGAGTTTGTATTTAAAATTAAATTCGCAATTTCCTTACAAAAAGATAGTGTGCCTCGCAGACAATTATTGCATGTCACCTTGTGAACTAAACTTCAGCTATTTAGTCAATTTTAAAAAGGAAACTGGGAGATAATGATCACAAATAATTTTTAAATGAATCTACAATATTTATACCTTCAATTGCCAGTATATAGAAATATGTCTAATATAATACATATGTAAAAAATAAATAAGTATAATATATCATGTAACAAAACCTACATAAGATACTATTTGAAGAACAGCAGTTGATGCCATTGTTATCATACTTTGGTGCTATAGCTCATGGCGAGCTTTAGCCTGCATAATAATTTATACCATATTCACGTAGCTATTTTATTCGTAAAGGTTCTCCGATTTTTATTGCCTAACTTAGCCAAGTCTACATCGACATGTTACATCGAGGCAACGTATAGGTTATCATACATTTTTTAAATTCTATGAATGTGCATTCATAATTTTTGAATTGTTCCATAATTTTTTCGCAGGATGCTTTTTGTTCCTTCTTATGAAATAGTAGAATTAGTTCAATTTATCTTGTATCTTTTTAAAGGCATATTTTTATAATATTCCATATTCAAATATTCCCTTTCATCCTAAACAAGTTTTGAATAGAACCTTCAGTGTTGACAAGCCATAAAGAGGAAAGCAAAGCAAACAAAAAAAAATCATAAATAAATTTATATGCAAAATGCAAGTAAATTTCATAACCAATTCAATTCAATTTATGAAATAAGTACACTCACCAAAGATACAATTCCAAAATTGCATACAAAAGTGCCGTTCGTTTAGAAGCAGAAATTTGAAAAGGAAGAAAGTGCATCAAAAATAAAGGAGTCGAATATAAAGTATCTAGTACATGTGCCACATCTACATCTGCGCAGGCACTGTGCAGAGGTCACTAAAAACACTAGAGGAGGAGGAAAGAAACAAAGGAATTTGAATAACATTGTAATTTGAATTTTGTAAAATTTCCATGTTTTGTATTCTAAAAATTGGTGCCGTAAGGAAGATTTTAATGTGGCTAAATTGATAGGAATGCTATTGGGCACTGGGTGTATGTCGCCATAGTTATATATTATATATGCTAGATCAGATCTAGTGGGTTGTGGTTGGATTTAAATAATAAAATATATAAAAGGATATAACCCAATTTGTCAAGAGCACTTAAAAAAAATTCAACTTAATCATTCAACCACCGAAAAGATACAAAATACAATGAAAAATTAAAAAATAGTTTCGTTTCATTTAAGGTCAGCATATCTGTAACAGCTTGTACTTTCCAAAAAATGTGAGCTTTTGTGGTCATTGTTGGCAATTGGAAAAAAGTAGAAAAGGACACGAGAATCCTGCTGATTGCGCTATTAAAAAGTGGAACATATTTTTAATTAAAAGTATTTGTGACAAACTTTAGGATGCTGCTGTTTGCGTGGACTTCTGTTTCAGTGTTTAAACCAAAATTTAATACTTTTGGATAGAAAATAAATTATTTAAAACATTAATAAGGTCAAGTACAAGTTTAAATACTTAATTATAGATACAGTTTTGTTACACTTTATAGTTATATATGGAGTATATATAGTACGTAACACTTAATATTAATATGATGTCAATATTATGATTAGTATTACTATTGACAAAATTAGTGATCCATATAACAGATAACTGACAGATTGATTAATAATATCACTGACATTGAAAGCTCTGTCCTCTCATGACCGTTACACAAGTCTAGATTGCGAGACAGTGTTATGTATTGTAATTAAGCACTTTCGGGTTCCAAATATCTTATCTACGACACATTTATATTACGATTACAAAAAAAGAAACTAGTTCCCATAAAATAATATATGATAATCAGTCTTTAGTCTAACGAATGGTGCCTAATGATTTCTAGTTACCTTCTACGATTTGGCATATCTTAATTGCGGTACTATTCTGAACCCTTTCCTGTAGAGAAAACTATCTAGTAATGTGAACGATATACTCTTGAGATATATGATAATAAATAAATGTTTTACTTTAACATCGATAGCATAACATATGACTACCCCATCAATTTTCTGCGGCAACGGGCATTTAAACCAGTTGTGTGGTACGTATAACGAAACGTGGTTATATAAATGTACATAACGATGAAAAAAGTTAACAGGTCTAGAATTGCCGCTTTAAAAATAAATTTCAATTCTAAAAACTAGATCAATATCTGGTTCAATATCAAAATTCAAGTCAATGTCAATTACATTCTAGGGTTAACGAGGTATTATGTACTTAATATTCGCCAGGGAAGAAAAGGAGTCTCTTAATGCATATCTTAATTTGATATTTATTTACAAGTAACGGGTTTTTTTTATAAAAACATATAGTCACAAATATTGGAAATTTTAACACATTCGTATATTCATATACATATTATTCTTCAAGAAAATGTGAAATTAGTGCTACTGGATTACTTACATATAAGATAAGATTTGACTATTGTAGTTACTATATATCATGTATTTGTATCTTCTTGTTTTATTGATAAAATCATCTAGTGTCTAAAATAAATACGTTCCTTAGTTGATGAGCATCTGCTATGTCTATGACTATTAGGATTTTTTGCTATTAAGTCATAGTTACTGGTGCTACTGGATTACTTACATATAAGATATAATTTGACTATTGCAATTACTATTTATCATGTATTTGTATCTTCTTGTTTTATTGATAAAATCATCTAGTGTCTAAAATAAATACGTTCCTTAGTTGATGAGAATCTGCTATGTCTATGACTATTAGGATTTTTTGCTATTAAGTTATAGCAGCATTTGTTATAATTATATAAATTTAAATTATAAAAAATTTATTCAGAATTATGTTAGTATATTCCCCAGCATTGTCTGATTTTAATCAATCATTCGATTATTCAATCGAAAACTTTTCCGTAAATGATATTTGCATATAAGAATAAGCAATTTTTTTTTTGATCAATCCTGTTCAAATATTAATGCAATTCATTAAAGTTTTTAATTTTGAAGCGTCCCTTGCTGCAAAGGATAATCGCTGCTAAAAAGGAATATTTAGACATCTGCTCGTGCATAAAATTAAAGAATCAAAGTGAATCGAACTTTTTAATTCTGCCATTACTTTTCGTTAGTAGTCAGTTAAATAATTTTGTGTAATAAAATTTCAAAGAAACTAAAATAAAAAATATCTGAACTTAATTTCGCCATTATTGAAGCAGCAAAGAGCCTGCAAACTTACAAAAAATTGATACTCTAAAAAATATCTATAAACTTTTGCTTTTACACAGAACAAAAAAAAAATTTAAACTTTAAGCCCAAATAAGGAAAAAAGGAAAACTAAAGGCAAAAAAACTAAGGACGAAACTAGAGAACTTTGGCTTTGGCTGCGCAAATGCAGCTGGTTTTGTGTTGGATAAGATAACTGAATTTGTGCGCTGCTCTATGTGCCGCTTTCGGCTATCATTTTCCACTAAAACTGGTGGCTACGTTCCCGCCCGTACTCCCCGGCAATTGTCCCGCATAACAACTTTTCGCTCAACTTCTGCATGGATTTTGTGTGTTTGGTGATTTCTTTTGTTGTTTTTGTTATTTACGGAAAGCGTTCGATGCAAAACTCTATTATTGCCCGTTGTTATATCTATAGTTTTTGTTGGACTTTTTTCTTCTTGGCAAGTTTTTCGTTTGGTTGAAAAACAATTAACTTTTTCCATAAATTTCGCTAAGAAACATTTCCGCTAAGGCTAGCGCAATATGCCAATACTCGGTATGCCACTGACAGTTCATGGGGGTGTTCGAGGATATGCAAGGATGCGTGAGGATGTGCGCTCTTGACTGCATATACTCGATATAGCACACATTTAATGTATTGAATGGTTTCGAATTGGCATAATGGATTTTTCAAATGAATTTATTGCTTGTTGCAGTTTCGTATTTGAACCACTTTCATTGTTTTCATGTGGTTACGAGCTGGGGTTTTAACTCGAGTGAAACAAATTAGCTTTCTAGTATCTAGCAAATTAAATAAATTTTCTTAAACAACCAAGAGAAGTATCAGAAAAAGACAGGAGCTTGGAATGCAGTTGACTTTTATGCTTTGATGTAGTTTTTTTTAAAGAACGAAGTTATTATAGCAAAAAATAAGTGAAAGTGCTATATATAAAAAAGTATTATTAACCGAAGACTAAGTAAAAATGAAGTATTAAAATTAAGATTTTATCATCAGATCAAATCATTAACATGAACTAAATTTATTCACGAGTATGAACAAAAATTATTTTTAATATTTATTGAAGATGATTACTTCAATTTCGGATCAATCTCAGGAATTGAGTCACTTCAGCCGGGTTAAATGAGGCGAAAACGATTTACATAATCAAAAATTTGAATTTTTTGTACTACATACACATAAGAACGTATTAACATATTGCCCTGTAAGAGTTCAGGAACTATTCCAAAACATATAAACTCATTTTATTTCGGAATATTGCAAGGTAAAAGAATTATTTATAGAGTAATTCTAATACTGCTTTATGTACTAGCAATACCCCTAAATCAAATGCTAAAATTTCATTCTTCCATGAAATTTTCCTAAGGTTATTAAGTTGGCTGGTGAAATACTTACTATGTATTTTTTTTATAATTTGCAGATGAAAAATTCAATTTTGCAAAAGGAAAATTTTGTATATTTTCTATTGTAAAACTCATCTTTATAAAATAAATTAAATTTATTTTATCTAATTAATGTAATTAAATTTTTATGATAATGATTTGACCAATTTGAAAGTTTCAGATTTTGATTTAAGTAGTTTCATGCAAAACTTACAAAGACTTCGATTAGCTTAACAAATAAATATTTAAGCACTAATTTCAACAGCAGCTCCCAGTTTGTGGGCACCACCACCAATGTCTGTACCTTCAATCAAACCACATAGAAAGAACGTTACACCGTCTCGTACTTTCTGCTGATAACCAAGTCCCAATTGACCATCAGTATTGATCTTAGCACGTAATTTTGCAGATGAATCCTCTAGATGATACACGGCACCAATACTTAGCTTATTTTCTTCACCTTCTGATTTGAAGTTACCCTGCAGTGCAGCTTCGATATTATCAGCACATCTATAATATATTGCTCCAGTGAATTCTTCTAAGTCTTTAAGCTCTACATGAACGGCCAATTCATCCTTTTCATAACCAAGAGCAAAATTATTTTTATTTAAACTCCAGTCTTGTGTATTAAGTTGAGTTGATAGGCCACCCAGAAAGGAATTGTAACCCAAAACAAGTGATGCATCAACGTTTGGACCATTCGTATCAATGTCACAACTGATGTCAAACTTGACATTTTCATGCGAATATGCACCGAATATCTTACCTTCCTTCTCACGTGTATTCAATTCATAACTGCCCTTGATGCCAACTTTAACCCCTTCAGCAATTTTGTCAGAACATGAGACTTCGGCGAATAACTTATTATCGGTATTCCATTTTTCAATCAAAGTCAAACCATAATCAGGAATTACATACTTTGAATCAAGTTGACCAAAAACTTTTCCATCATCCTCTTTGGAGTAACCAGTTGAGTTTAAGTCGAGACCAGCAGTCGTCTTCGCATTGCACATAATCTTCCATAACCCAAAGTGGTAACCCTTAGTAAGAACATTACGTGCCCAGCTTCCAATATCTACGTAGGATGGCGGAGCCATTTTTCTAAATACAGCAGGTAGTTCTTAGATTCAGACTATAAAACAAACAGAAAGCTAAACATATTTTATATTAATTTTTTTCTTATAAAAATGTTGACTACAATATTTATTTTTATAAAAATTTTTGAAACTCAAAGTTAACTGAGTTTTACGAGACACGTTTATACATATTATTAATAACTTTGTATAATCGAACTATAAGTTGTGTGTAAATAATAAAAAAATTTTGGTATTAATTAAATTATTTTAAATTTAAAGAAAGCATTTTCAAACGTTGCAGTCCACTGCAGTTGTAGAAAAATTATGAGCAGACATGGAGAAAAAGGAACCATTGTAGTAACTGATATATGTATAGTAATGATATTGATAAAAATTATCACTTTTAACTGAAACTGTTTGATATCTATGTATTTTTTCAAGGGGTTTGATGACATTACAAACCATTTAATTGAGGTTAGAATATATATAAATTAATAAGACGTAGATAACTATTGAAACTATTTGGTGAAATGGAATAGGCTTAGAACTTATCAATAAAATAAGATTAATTCTTAGAGTTCTACAATTGAATCACAATTCGCATATAGTCATAATAGAAGTTCTGAAATTTGAAAAATAAACACATCGAGTATAAATAATACCTGTATCTATGAATTACCAAATAAAGCCCATTTAATAAACTTTTATTATTGAATATGTGTTTACTGATATAGTAGGTTACTTTATAATCATTCATCACAAATTCTTTAGAATATTTCAAATTTTTTTTTTTAACTTATTTTAATAAAAATAATAATTTTTATGTAAATTAAATACAAATAAATAAAAAAAAATAAATAAAAAATAAATAAATAAAAAAAAGATAAGTAAATAAAAATTTTGTCATTATGACAAAATGTAATGAATAAAAGAATTTATTATATGCTTAAATATATGTTCCGTACTTTTTATCTTGGTATCAAATTGTAGTATTTCGTAGAAAAGGAAAAGCTTTTAATCAGCAAACATGTAATAAATGAATGCCAACAAAGGAGCTGAGCTTTAATTTAGTGGCATGCAACACAATTTCTATCCATTTTCCTGCTTAATCACATAAATAACACATTAGCATTCTATAAATCACATCCGCTTCACTTTGAAATTCATAAATTTTCATTTCTAACACTACTCTAAGTATAACGGATACACGCTCAGGATGATAAATGTAACCAAACACCTATGCTAGCAGAGATCTACGCACCCGAAACCAACTCCAACGCACGAATAAACCAACTCCAACGCCAACGCTAACGCCAAGACCATGAGCCAATAATAGTCGCAATGGTTTACTTAACACTTTACACCCCACTCCTTGCGGCTGTGTTACTTACGCTTTCATTTAAGTTGTAATACGCACCAATGATTACCGCTTTCGAAACACATTAAATACCTTAAAGTAAGCAAAGGAATACGCATCAGGGCAATTGCAAGGATACGTTTCAAGACAATTGCTGAAGTCGGTGTAAGCACGCGTCTACTAATGTTATTTAATATTATTTGATTTTTATTTTCTTGAATTTTTTCCTTATATTTTTTCTATTGCCAGTAGTTGTTTCCATAGCAGAAAACAATTGTTCTTCCGCACTCTGGAGTGCGAACACTGAAGTACTAATTTTTTTAATGTTTGCTATTTCGTGGCTGTTTTAGTGGCGTAGCTCTCGGTTAAGCAGTTTGCTCCATGTATTTTACTTTTTGCTGCAGGAGGGTATATCATTAAGGTGAAAATTATGCTACTAATTAGCTATTTTGTAGCAACAACGGCAGATATTGTAGCATCGGTAATCGTGCCAAAATCAGCAGCCAACACCGTTTGGCATTTGCCAGGAGTAGCAATAGAAAGGGAACGAGTCCTTTGAATGCAGCAAGTCTGGCAGTGAAAGCATTTCGCTGTGCGTAGAAGTTGAAATAGCTCAATACTTCTTCTATTCTTTCTTGATGGTTGTAAAGAATTTGACTTTTATGTTGATTTTAATTGTGGTTTAATTAAACTGTAGTGGCTTTAGCCTTTTCACACTTCCTTCTTCCTTCTAGTTTATATTGCGTTTAATATTACACTCTTCCTTGCAATTATTAGAACGTTATAAGACATAACAATGAACTGTAGTTAGTGGGATTGAAAGGATGAAATGGAGTAAGTGGGGGATGAATCAATGAAATAGCATATTGCGGTTTACGAAGTTTTCTTAAGTATTTATAAAACTAAAAGAAATTAACTGAATTTTAGTAGATTATTAAAACGAATAAAACTAGTAACATTTCTCTTATTATAATCGAAAAACAAATTGAATATTTTCAGGCTCATATATGTAATATATTATATGTAATTATATGTAATATATATAGTAATATAAAATTAAATGTATTGTTAGTGTTAGTTAATTTGTTGATTAAGATTCTTCTTTTGCAATTGGAAAAAAATTGTGTTTCTAAAAATTGTTTATTCTTCTCTTTTAATAATAAGTAACATGTTGTACTGAAAAGTAGCTATAACATACCTGACCTGATTGAAAAAGTAAATAAAAACTATTTTAACTATTTGAAAGCTTAAAAAAAGTATCTATGAAAAAGGAAGTTAGGATAATATATTTAAGTCAAACTCAGAGCTGTAGCTTGCTTAATTGAGAAAGTTAATAAAAACTTTAGAAACTATCTTAAAGTTTGAAAAATTTATTACCTTTTAATTTAAGTATGTTAACAATTTGATCTAGTTTTTAATAATCAATTCGAGCAGGTTATCTATTTGGTCTAGTACTGCTAACAAAGTTGTGATAAAACATAAATATGATTAAAGTTATGAATTACTAATTTTTAATAATCAACATCATACTTCATTGATAGTTTAGCAGACTGTTCATCGGTGAACGCAAAAAACCTATTAAATTATCTAAATTCGACGGGTTGAATTTAGTCTCAACTATTCTATACTAGGGTTCTTGCGAGGAATATGGTAGCAAAACGGTGAAAAGTCGCTAATTGAGGTATATGGAAGTTATCTAATAGCCTGCCACTGCAACCGACCAACCAACAACATACTTTATTAATTCGACTAGGGTATCTATTTGGTCTAGTACTGCTAAAAAAATTGTGATAAAACATAAATATGATTAAAGTCATGAATTACTAATATGAAACATAATTTATATTTCATAATTTTGAAAAAATAAACCTTGAACTCTGTTTCGGTAATGTTAAAAAATAAACTGTCAACTTAAATATTAGATGATATCAGAGCATTTTCGGAGCATTTTCGAAGCATTTTCATGTTGAATACACAATTATTTTATAATTTATTTTAAAGCTTAAGGCATATTAAAATATTAAATGTCGTAAGAGCAGTACTAATAGCCACAAAGTGAAGTTAAATTTTAATATTTACTAAAATGCTAAGTTCAGCAAAATGTATTTGAAATGTCCAACAACTACAACAACAACAACAACAACAATAATAACAACAACTACAATAACTACAGCAATAAATAAATAAAATAATAACAAAACCAACAGGAGCAAAACATTTTAAATACGCATAAAAGTTGACAGAAAAAAGGAATAAAAGAATTTTTACAACATTTTAATAGCGAAAATGAAGATTTATTACTGTAACGGTAACAGTAAAGACAGTGGCAGCGGCAGCGTCAACGGCAGAGGCAACGACAGTGGCAACAGCAATAAAGACAGTGACAGTAAAAAATGTTGAGAAAAAAAGCTAACTTGTCCGGTAACGTCACTAAAATGAAAAAGTGCAAAATCCTTGCCTTGCTTGCCTTGCCATGTCACGTCAAAGTTTTACGTGGTGGCAACATTAACGCTTGACGTAAATTTAAACGTGTGCGTAACTGTGTGTGTATGTATTGGTGAGTCTCTGAAATGGTTTGGCACATCGTCATACCACAAAAAATTCGTTTGGCAATTTTCTTTGTTTTTGTTTTTGGTAAAATGTTGATACCTTAGCGAAAGTGAAGTGGATCCCCCAACGCAAAATGCAAATTTTTAGCAAAAATTTTAAATTTATCTAATACTTTTTTTTGCTATCGTCACAAGTCACAGCTGCCGTTGCTTAAATTTACTAATTGTGTACAAATACAATTTAAAGAAATGAAAATCTCTATCTAAATTTATTACATTACCTTGAGCACGAAATTCCTTCACACTGTCAGCTTTCAAAGAAAATTTCAAAATAAATTTTCTACCAATGTTTTTTGAAATGATTTTCTGTTGCTAATTTTTGATCTCCAATAGTAAAGATTAACTTTTTTTATTTCTGTCATTACTAAAAATAATCTCGATTTTATTTAAAAAAAAAAAAAATACAAATATTTCAAATTAAAAAGCATACTTAGATTTTTAAAATAATAAAAACAGATTCAAACTACAACAATCTATAACAAACTAATGGTCTATAAACAATTACTGAAGCCGGCTTGGACTTATGACATACAATTCTGGGGTTGTGCCAGCAAGAAACACATTGCAACTATCCAGCGCTTTCAAAATAAAGTACTACGTTACCTCTTAATTGCTCCATATTACATTAGAAACAGTGATCTTCATCGTGATCTTGGCATGCCAACAGTCGACGAAGTGGCTAAAAGGTGTGCCGTTGCTCAGAAACAGCGTTTGAAAACATAAATCAACGTTACAGCATCCAGTCTTCTCCAGTCGGTTGCACTACCTAGACAGCTTAAAAGAAAAACAGTGGCAGACCTAATGGAGAACAATTAGCAAAATAGCTTCGTTTTTACCTTAAATATTCCAATCAAAGTACTTATTAGTACCTCTTATTTGTTATTTGTACGAGATGCAATATTAAAACGATTTTTGTCTATACCTATTTTAAGAAAAGAAATACTTGATATATACATTAATATGTACAGTATGTTAACTCCACAAGACCTTGTCAGCAACTTACCTTACTCACTTATTAAATACCTTAAAATATTTCTACTCATTTTAATTAAAAACTTTAGAGGCTAACAACGTCAAGTGACGCACAATGAACACTGCCGTCGTTCTAAGTACTTTCCACTAAATTTTCGCTATTCTCAATACCGTTCCATTGCATACTAAATCACTATGCACAACTATACTTTAGTTTTTTGTGCTGCTCTAGTGTGGCAGCTAGACTGTCGCCTCCTATTTGTTGAGTATCTTCGCTTTGTGCCGTGCTATTCCTTAAACAATAAACCAAAGAGTAATGACACAAATGCGTCGCATCTATATATCAAAGATTGTTCATTATTGAATTGGGAGCGAAGCTGACCTTTATCTTCATTGCTGCTGCTGTAGAATTTGCCACTTCCATCGATTACCCATGAAAGCCGGCATAGCAGACAACACAAATGCAGACACAATATAGTCTGGCATGGCACGGCTTGGTGTGGCTTGGCTCGGTTCGGTTCGGCTTTGCTCTTGAAGCAGCCAAGACTCACAAAAGTTTCAATAACATTTTTGCATACAGTGTTGCTGTTGACAGCTCGAAGACCAAGAGCAAAAAATGTAATTAATTTACGTTGATTAAAGATGAAAGATGAAAGCAGTACGAAATAAAGGCAAAAATGCAGTTGAGGAATTAAAAGTTGGCAGCTGACTTTAAAGTTGATTTTTGTGCATATAGTGAGATGAAGTGAAAGTATGCAATTGTTTTTATTTATATATATTTAAACAAAAATACGGACAATTCGAATACTTGCTTTTGTTTCTTAAGTACAATTTGAATACAACAAGCTCAAAGTCTTTAACAGACATTGATTTAATGCTGCATCCTTCACATTTTTGCTGAGTTTTCAATAAAAAGTTGCATGTATACGTATATGCATCGTACAATCTTACAATAAGACTGATGGAATAATATTATTTTTTGAACAATTTTTGAATGCATTTTCATTCTCTTAATAACAACTCAAGTTGACTTTAAAGAGAAGTTACTGTACGAGTGCTCCATAAATGGAAAATAATAGAAACTTAATTCAATTTCAACATCCCAAGCTTTAATAGATAGACAAATTTTGATTTTCGAGTTATAAAAAAATCTTTAAAAAAAACTGTTAAAATTTTAAAATAGATACTTTAAAGGGCAGACGTCACGTAGACAAGCTAATAAAGGATTCTTAGATTTACCTAGGTCTTTTTTTTTAAGATATGCTTTCTCTTCGTCAATTGATTTCCTGAACGGTTCTTGAGCGAAGAGCTACCTACATCCCTTTCACCTTGTTTTTGACAATTTTATAAGTCTTCCGACATGTGGTTCTGAGAGTTATGTTGCGTTCTCCAAAATGAATTTTTCATGAATCGTAGCCATACCATTTGTTAAGGTAGAACATCTAAAGAATATGTAAGAATTTGGTAATCAGATAAGCAGAGGCCGCAGATATAGACATTTAAAACACCAAGGCTGTGTGCATGTCTACCTATTTCTCAATGGCAGACAACAAGTGATATAATATATTTTCGATGACAAGCATATTTAAGTTTACAAGTTTCCTAGTTTTGAGTAGATTTAAAGATAACCAGATTTATTTTATGTTAGCGCAAATAGGTTTCTATTACCATCTAACTTGTGCTTTTTTGAAAAAATAAAAGTATATTATGAGGAAACAGGTATTGATTAGTATGTTTATACCTCGACACTAACTGATAGTCGAAACTAATTTATGGCTGCACGTTTGCGTACAAGGTTATCTCTTATGTGATAGTATGTCCTGGTAATCAGTTACAGTAGCAAATCTCATTTTGTGACTTTCGGATGTGATATATGGAGAGTATTGAGTCTAGCACACTTACTTGTTTCTAATAGTATAATTTTTTTTTGATATACACAAAAAATTTAGTTTTCTGTGTAATGTTTTGATTGTGTTCAGCAAATTTCAGATTCAATTCATTAATGTACTAATTCATTAACACAATATTTTACATCGATTTCTTAAATATTTAAAGCACCTCTGATTAATAAATTAAATTACTTGTTACGTAACATTATTTTACTTGGTTATTTATAAGTAAATGAACAAATGAATGTATCTGTATTCTCCTTAGAGTAATTGACTGGCACATAAAATTAACTTTAAGCAAAACAATGTGAAAGGATCAAAGCTGCTAACACACAGGTAAGAGGAAGTACATATGTTACATCCTTTTTACACTTCCGTTTTTCTGTTATGTTATATAAAAGTGAAAACTACAACATAAAATAGGATAAAAATGTGTTTCCAGTAAGAGCAAGGCTTAGTCGGACAATTGAAGCCTTCGGCGATTTATTGCATGCAATTTTTTAGTTGGCTTAGTAAAGCCAGAAAACGTTGTTTATGTATTAGCTATAATAAAACTCTGAAACAGGAGTAGACCGCCGATGCATAAAATAAGCATTAAATACAATAAAAATATGTAGATAAACGTGTATCAATGTGATTTTGCGCATAAATAAACGGAAGCTTATATAAATGTCCATTTAGAATATTTTCTCAGTTTGCAATGTCTGTGCAAAAGTTAATAATTTATTTGATAATAAAAAAATAAAATATTTAAACACTGAATTCACTTATAAAAATTACACATATGTAATTAATTTGAAAACACATTCTTTTATTAAGATACTATAACATGTGCCAGTTTGAAAAAAGGGTTTCTAAGATTTTAGTTGTAGAAATCTTCGTTTGATAATGTATAGTTTTAAGATCTTTATCTTCACACAGCTTAATGTAAAAATCGAAGTAAATAGTCATCATCATCATTATCAGTATAACATTCATTGAGTTGTATTTTCTTTTTGACAATTTTTATACTATTTAATGAAAATATTAAATTTACATCAAATTTCTCGTCATTAATACAGAAACATATGTAAATATTCATATATCTAATTTTTAAACCATTACTAATATGCACATAATACATATTATATATTATTGCTTTTTGAAGATTTAAAATTTAGTAATTCTTAAATTTTTCTCAAAATTGTAATATAAACCTAGTATCACTTGTTTCTTAAGAAGATATGGTCTGTAGTCATTTACACTGTCAGTCTTGTCAGTCTGATTTCTTTTGTGAATTACTTATTTTTTAACTACATCATTGTTGTTGCCTGTGATAATAACTTTAAACGATAAAACCTTAAAGTCGCTATTGAAGAATAATGCATCTATATTCCTATCATCTATATGTCTCTAGCTATTTTTCTTACTAATTGCATAATAAAACATTTGACAGAAAACAAAAATGATCTATTATAATAATAACAATATTATTTGTCATAATATAATTTATATATATGAATATACTTTATTATTTTTATAATATAGCATAAATATTTTCATAGTCTATTACTATTCATAATCTAAACGTCAGAAATTCTATTTGATGACAACTATGTATTTGTTTTTCATTCTATTGTAGTTAATATTTTTTAAAATTAGTTTATGTGAACTATTATTAATAGTTAATTAATTAATTAATTTTGTTAGAAATTTCATCATTCAAGCAGCAATGGATGCATATGACGTCATATAATATTTCCTAATTAAAAGAGGGTCTATAAGATAATGGGGAATAATATTTAAAACTAATAGACTAATGCTGAAGATATAGACTTGTGATATAATTTTAATGTGAAAACCTTCTTTTCTAATAAGATTTATTAGTATAGTATATATAATAATAGATACTAAGAAAAGCAATAAGTCTTTAGTGGACTTTTTTTTTTGGTTTTTTAGTGACTTTTTTTTTGGTTTTTTATATGATGTCCATTGTTACTGTCCATTGCTTACCCCACCTTTTTAGCGATTTCTAACTACCCACATGAATATGATATTATTGATATGACACGTTCAATATAAATTAATAGTAATCGTCCCATGTGATCATAACAACCCATTACCGGGTTTCGGCCTGACGCAGCATCTCTCTCCAGGCGCGTCTACTGCATATGGGCCTCCTCCAGTCTCATACACCAAGTGCGGTTAGTGCTCCTTACACTTGATCATTCCACCGCAGACACGGTCTTCCTCCAACAACTGCTTCAAATAACTTTTTCGCTTGAGCATCTTCATCCATTCCCACAACATGATCAAGCCAGCGAAGCCGCTGGATGTTAGTTCGCTGAATTATATCGATGTAGTGATAAAGGTCATACAGCTCTTGACTCATTCGTATGCGGTAGTCGTCGCCAACTCCTAGAAGACCAAAGATCTTACGAAGAACTTTTCTCTAATTCTGATTAATAATTATAATGTAATTGTAATATAATAAAAATTAATAATAATAAAA